CCCCAAAACCCCAAAACCCCAAAACCCCAAAACCCCAAAACTCTGCTCAAAATAGAATTTTCCAAAAATGGACTTCTACAGGAAGAAATCTGAGTTCTTGATCAGGATGAAGGAACAGAAAGTCATGAAGAGGATTAGGAGGGATGTGGGCTGGAAGTGTACTGGGAGGGAGTGTGGGGATGAAGTGGTTTTTCAAATCAATCGATTTTGATGAGATTTCATTCGTCGTTATGAGAAGATGAGTGAATCTATAGGAGTTGATGGTGCATTATTGATTGAAGCGAGTGAATCTAGAAATCATAAGCAGTTTTGGAAGTTCCTCAAAGCTCCTTTTATTAACAAAGTCTTCAAATTGAAGCTATTCTTTACGTGAAGCTTTGGAAATAGATATAGAAGATTTCATAGGCATGTGATGAAATTTATTCCTAATGTTACAAAATCATTTGAGTTATATGGCTGAAATATTAGCCACAATCAATTCAGAAAAATTGTCCAAATCGGAAAACATATATCTAACTTCTCCTTTAGAAGGTGAAGAATCTTTCTTACCAAGTTGAAATTTAGTGATAACTTGCATTACTGTATTAAAACCTTGACTTTTACCATTGAATCATGAGCGTATCTTCAAACTTCAGAACACATTATAGAAAGTCTTGAAGGCTTACTGAAAGCTATACAACCTACAGACATGAAATCCTCCCTCATAGAGATGAAGATTGATATTGAAGAAATAAGGAGAAAGATCTGTCAATTTGCAGGAGACATAGGACTGAGCTGTCTAAACTTTCCGAATCATCAAGCAGAGTTTCTTCCTTACATATAGTCTCTCAATAAAAATTCCTCCAGCAAGCCCATCTACTTATTTGTCGAATCATTCTCCTACTCATGCTTAGAAGAATGGGAAACAGTCTTTTTGGGTGTTAAATGAGACATTCAGTTAAAGAAACTCAGTTTCAATATGGCTTGCTCAAAGTGGGGTTTTGGGGTTTTGGGGTTTTGGGG